GGAAGAGAAGCATGACAACTTCAACGCATATAAATTATTAAAAGAAGTAACAGGTCGTATAAAATCTTGTAACTTGATCAATATTGTAGGAGCCAATAACATCATCGTTGATCCCAAGAAATTTCTCCATCATTGAAAAACCGAAAATGAATCTTCCTCAAAAATACTTGAATCAGATGTTCTAAAGGCAATTAAACAAAGTAAGAAGGGGAAAGCAGCAGCTCCATATGACGTATACATAGAGGTAATAAAGCTTCTGAACGAAAAAAATATAGATTCTTTGGCGGAAATATTTAACGATATACAGCGTGATATTTTTTTGGTGACTGGTACAGGGATCTGCGGAACTAGAGCAGTTACTAGGGCGGTTAAATGGACAAAGAATTGTAGTTTTAAATGGTCTACTCGAAATCAAATTTATTTTTCTGAAATTTGGCAGTTGTCAAGAGATATTTCGGAAAAACTTGTTTATGGTAAATTTTTAAATTACTCCTAGTTCCGTTGATATTAATTTGACACGAAAACATTAAATGGAAAACTTGTAGGAAGTTGAATTCCAAAAAAATGGCATAAGACATTTCTCCAGAATAACTGTAATTTTTACAATTTTAAACAAATAATAGTATTTATTTTGACAACTACGTTAAAATTGGCAATAACTTTATTTTTATTAATACAGCTGCTCATTTAAACTGTTTATTATAAAAATCAGATCATTCCAATAATTATTAAAATTTAACCCTAGAAACTTTGATTTTTATTGTAAAACCTTTCCAAAAAGTCCATTATTATCAATGCAAACAATGCAACGCTTTAAAACTCAATAAGCTGCTTTTCTTGCGGACCGACCATCGATATTTTCAAATTGCTCTCACAGCAGCTTCTTGAAGTGCATTTAAATTGAAATATTTGTTTTTGTAAACTGCGTTTTTTACGGCTCCGCACAAAAGGAAATCCAAAGATGAAAGATCCGGTGATCGAGGTGGCCATAAAATAGGGCCGTTTCTTCCAATCCAAGTCCCAGGAAATGTTACGTCCAGGTTATTCCGCACTAGGGATAAATTATGCGGAGGAACGCCATCATGTTGAAACCATTGCAAATTACGCCGTGTTTCTAAGTCGTCCAACATAAAATCCAGGTTATTACGAAGGAATTGAAGATACCGAGTCAAATTTAAAGTGCCTTCAAAATTAAATGGTCCAAAAAATTTTGAACCTACCATTCCGCTCCAAACGTTAAACCCAAATTTAACTTCTGGTCTCCTTTGCCCAACGTGGTGAGGATTTGTCTGATTCCAAAGATGTTCATTGTGTCGATTCACAATTTGTGTAAATCGAGCTTCCTCGGTCCACAATATTTTATAAGGGAATTGGATGTCTTGTTCGCATTTGTGTCGGAACAATGTACAAAAATTCACACGCAGCTCTTCATCCTCTGGATGTAAAGTTTGGGATGCTGATAATTTATACGGATGAAAACTCATCACGGTGCTTTGGGAAGACCTGGATTCTGCTGCTATCTTTCTGGTTGAAATATGTGGATTCTGGCTTGAAATGGCCAAGATATGAACCTTAAGAGCTTCATTTATTACCTGATCTTCATTTTGTAGCTGCGTAAAACTTCCGTAAGTACCGAAATTGTCGTATAAATGTTTGAATGTTTTCAGGAGCGATTGACGACGGTCAAAATACTTCTCAATTTCAAGTTTCAATCATGTCGCGCTTTTCTTGATAAAACTAACTTAGATTTCTAAGTTGCATTTAAACTTAAATGTCAAAATTTGAAAGATGTTGTTATTATTTGTTGCTATGAAAACAATGCTGTGTCTTATACTATTTTCTATGACTTACTTAGATCAACTATATTGGAAGAGTATGAATTGTTCGCAGACATTTTATTTTCGAAAAAATCCTAACTATGTGATATATTTCAAAAGAGATAGACCTACAATTCTTTGTCCATTTAACCTTTTTCGTAATCGCTACAGTTTTGAAGATCCCTGTACTGGTCATCGGAAAAAACTCTATACAGGGTGAATTGAGATGGGCAAAATACCGGCGGATTGGCTGCAGTGGACCCTTGTACCTATACTGAAAAAACCTAACGCAAACCTCTGAGACCAGTTCCGAATGATTAGTCTGTTAAGTCAGGTCCTAAAACTATTCTTGAATATAATACATACACGGATTTACAACAGATCTGAAAGAGATATTGCTCCCACACATTTTGCATTCAGGCAAGGGTTCGGTACACGTGAAGCGCTCTTCAGCTTAACATCATTACTCCAAAAATGCAGAGACCATGAAAGAGACGTTTTCCTGTACTTCAGAGATTATGAGAAAGCGTTTGACTCATACATCGCTTCAAACATACAGAGTTAATAAAGCTGATCCAAGACAGACTGATAGATGAGAACGACTTAAGATTCGTTAAGAACCTCTAAATACATAAAACAGCAAAGGTGTAAGACAGGGTTGTGTTTTGTCCCCCCTTCTGTTCAATTTTCACTCTGAATCAATCTTTAAAAGTTTCCTGAGAGATACAGGGGAAGGGCTAAAAATTAATGGGCAGGTTGTTAATAACCTTCGCTATGCCGATGACACAATCATATTGGCTGATAGGCAGCAAGCGCTTCAACGCCCTTTCGACCGCATAACTACCGAAGGAAAACAACTTGGTTTAAAAATCAACGCACACAAAACGACGGTTATTTTGGTTAGCAGAACACCGAATGTCCATTTAATTATCAAACTAAACGGTAACAATTTCCACTATGGGTCCAAGTTCAGATAACTGAGAACCTCGACCCCGACACGGAGATACGTAGCAGAATAGAGCAGGCCAGGACTATCATTTAGAAATCTGAGAGCCCTGCTCTGCAACAAGAGTCTTAATTTAACGTTACGGTACCGTTTTGGGAAATGCTACATTTACTCAGTGCTGCTGTACGGAATGGAGAATTGCACAATAAAAGCTAACGTCATGAACGGTCTCGAGGCTTTCGAAATGTGGGTGTTTAGGAGAATCTTTAAAATCAGTGCGGAGGTATTCAAGCGCATGGGAGGAGAAAGACAACTGCGGCAAAATTTGATAGTGAAACGAAGATAAGCAACCTACCTGGGTCATGAACTCCAAGTTCAATTCAGGAACTCCAAGTAACAATTTCTAATGCCGATTATGGAGGGGAAATGGAGGGGAAAATGGCAGGAAAAAGAAGCATCGGCAGAAGGAAATACTTATGGCTAGAACGTAAGAGACGGGACAAATCTCGATGCCCATGCTGCTTTTCAGAGCCGCACAAGATCGGAGCGAGTATATCAGAATTTTCGCCAACATTCAGTAGATGAATAAAGCACCTTAAGAAGAAGAAGAAGTTATGTTAAACAGGCTATCAGTTTAAAAAAATCATTTTCGAGAGAAAAATTTGGAAAGCTGAAAAGTCTAGCGTTATTAGAAACATGTCTTTGATTATTTTTCTAGCTTTAAGCTGAAGCTAGCTTATTTTATTTTACAGCCGGTTTCACAGGAATATAATGAGCGCATTTGAAAAACAGCAATTTTTTCAGAGCGAATTTAATAAAACATGAAAAGATTCACCCGAGCAAAAACCCTTTACAAAAATTTCAAAAATTAGAAAATATTTCGTTTCATGCCAGTAAGGATAGATATATTTCATTAATATACTATTCTCTAAAAATCAGACCAATCAAACTTCCGTATTGGCCTCCAAACTAGTCTACTTTGCAAGTAAATGTAATGAAACCCTGCGACTAATGTAACTTGTGCGTAATAATATTTTTGGAATAAAATCACTGAATGTTATTAATTCCAGATCAATGCATTGTACCAAAAAGGTCAGAAGACGTTTTCATTTCCAAAATTAACACAAACTAACTAAAGGCTTTTATAGTATAAATTAATTAAATTTTTAACGGCAATCTAAACTTTTGATTTAATGTGAGGGTACATAGATTTTATTCTTCAAGAAACTTTCTATAGTTTTGTGTAAGAACAAGAAATAAATGGAGTGTGATGTTTGAAAAATTAATTATCTACTTAAATAGATTAATAATTGAAAACTTTGACTGCGGGCAAAAAAGGTAGTACATTTAAGATACCAAATGCTAATAAAAGTTAGTAATCTTTAATAAATCAATAAATTAAGAAAATATTTATAAAATACATGCTATGTGCATTATGCTATGTGCATGTATATTACAATGCATTACATCAGCAACAGATGGCGAAGTTTAACCATTGGCTATCTACAATCCGTAACATACCACAAAATATACATATACAAACACATTCATTTGAGTGCCTAATAACAGGTTTTTGTATCCCGACCTGAACATTTTTACACTACATTCTTGGAAATAGGGTCACATATCATGTATTGTTTGACAAAACTATAACAGAACCTTTTTTGAAGTAATGAAGTTCTATTTTTTGGTATTGTAAAGCTATTCATATTTCTTAAATTAAGATTATGCACGTCCATCCTAAATTCCAACTTCTGGTAAAGGTAACGAGACTCTGAAGTGTCTAACAGTTTCTTAAAAAAATATCATAGAATGCAGTTTGTGCACATCATCACTTCTCAGCCAGCCAATTTGCTTTATATTTTTTGACACTGAATTCTAAAACCTACAACATGTATTCTGCAGAAACTGCACTCTGGTCTTCGTAACTACCTCCAGAAAGAAAGAGACATTTACAAATACTGTAATTCAATATAGATTAAATAAGTATAATGTAGATACAGAGTATGAAACACCTGAAAATCTTAAATAGAAAATAAGTGTTTGAACTACACTGTACTGTGCATGTAGCTGTAAAAAGAATGTCAAAGTACAGAAATAAAAATCAGAATCAGAAATCGTGACAAAATAGAATGTTTATATTTCACTCTGACAAAACGTGCAGCCTCTTCAGTAATAATTAAATTCGTTCTCTGCAATGGTCTATTAATGGATCTAACCTTGTACCATCTTTTTAGAATGGAGGCGCCAAGGATGGCCTGGATATGAACGTCGCGCCCGCCTGGCGAAAGGGCTACACTGGAAAGGGAGTCGTCGTCTCCATACTCGACGACGGTATCCAAACAAACCATCCAGATTTAGCGCAAAACTATGTGAGTATTTTTCAGTTTCCGTCTCTGCCTTAATCTCGCTTCCAAACCGTCTACAATTGTGACCTCGAAACTTTACCACGCAATTGTAAAACACCAGAGTCCCCGTGCATGACTTGTTGACCTTATTCGTCCACGAAATATGAACAGCAGGCCAACTTTAAATGGGTCATTGCTAAGTTTTAATACGCCCAATCCATAAGAAGCAGGGAACTTAGGGAAAGGAAGTTGCTTTATTTATCCCCTAATCAGCGAGATTAAAAGCCAACTTACGGCTATACAAAATAAAATTAGTTTCTCGCTCAAAAAAATAAGATAGTTTAGATGTCAGAATCCCAAACATTCAACCGATCATAGCATTATTGATTTCAGTAACTTTTTATAAATTAATGCATGGAAAAGAGACTTATTTCATTTTTCTATTTGATTTGGTTAGTTTGTAAAAAAAATATATTACGTCACATGTTTAATACGCAAACACGATATTCCTTTGGGGTGGTTCTAAATAGGTTGAACTGTTTCGGAGGAGTACTGCAGAACATCGTTTGGCATATTTTTAATCTGAGAGTTTGTTTGTTAAGAAAGTATGAGTATCAATACGCTCGTCTTGAATGGTCTTTTTGTTCTCGATTTCCAGCTCTTCTAGTCGGACATTTGTTAATCAGTGTAGTGACATATTTTTGCTTCTCAATCACGACAGCTTCCAGAAATGATCAAAAAGTTTATTTCTGTCATCGTCTGTTAGTGCCTTGCATCTTGAACGAGTTGTTTCGTCACATTTACACCTATCTCCCACACTCTTGGAGTTTTTAACTATCTTATAGTCACAGTTTTATCATTATTATGTAGTATGTTAGTATCATTTTTTCGTTTTTCTAAATACTGTTCTGATTGCCTTTTACGTTTTTCAGAGTATTTTTTCCCATTAATTTTGATTTACGTGACGATACAAAAGCTTCGTTTTCTTCACTATCTCCTTCAGAGCCGGAAAAATTTGGTTTTTCTTCATGGGAAATAACATAGGTCGGGTCAGCTGGGTCATCAGCATTCATTGCTAACATTCATGCGTTTGCTCCTAAAAATGTTCATTATTTTCTAAATTTACTAACTCTGACAAACTATTAATTTCATTATATAGGCTTCTTAGATTATAAGTTTCAGCTCTAAAGTTACATTATTGCTTAGGCAATTTTTGGAAATATTTAGTAAGTTTTTGACTGATTTATCAGTCATTTCAAGCAAAACATGATCATTTAATGCAGCTCCGAGCTCCGTAAAAATGTCGATTTCCTTTAGTGTTACTAACAGGATCTGGCTGTAAAGTTTCTATTGTCCAGCTTACACCAGCAAAGAATATCATTTTTTATGATCTGGATCGTGGATTGATTCTGCGAAAAACCTAAACTTCATATCCAGAAGGCAATAGTTACCGACAGATAATTCACCAGAATTGACAAATATGTATGTACAAATGCTTTGGAAACACAGCCCTGTTTAAAAAATTAATTTTAAAACCCATAATTCAGTTTCAAGTTTAAAATATTCCACGTTCAATGGAAAGTTCAATTTCAAGTGTTTTAAACAACATTACTTTTATGTATTTTTCGTCTTCTATCTTTATTCTCTTCACTGATATTTATTATCAGATTTGCAGCTTAAACAAATACTTATTTGCCGTATTTGAAATATAAATTTGCCTAACTTCAGGCCGATATAAAAACTTAATAACTTAATATTTCGGAAACTAGTGATCCGATGAAAAATTGTTTCAAATAAGAAGTTATTATCTGGGAGGGGAAAGTTTATTCGTGTCAGAGAAACAACGCTTACTTCGAGCTTGTAAGCTAGGCAGGGGCCAACTTGAGAATTTCAAATGGTATCCACAACATTTTACTGGAGATTCGAGTAGTACGTCAAAAAGTGAGAATAATTTATTTAAAACATTTTCTTCGATATTGACAGGTGGCGTATGTTTTTTTTTATCTTGAATCGCTAAAATATTTCGGAAATTAGTGATTGTACGAGAAAATTTTTCGAATAAGACGTTCATATCTGGGAGGGGGGAGTTTATTTGTGTCACAAAAAAGCGCCTACTTCGTTCTTGTTCTGTGTTCCGCAATTCATTTCTTTGAGCTATTTTGTTTAGACACAAATTTTCTTATTTGGACCCATAGTGCGCCACTTGTCAAAATCAAAGAAAATTTCGATACATTATTCCTAATTTTTGACGTACTACTCGAATCCCCAGTAAAATGTTCTGGTTACCATTTGAAATTTTCAAGTTGGCCCCTGCCTAATCTACAAGCTCGAAGTATGCGTTGTTTTTCTAACACGAATAAACTTTCCCCTCCCGGACATTGACTTCTTATTTAAAACATTATACAGGGTGTCCCGAAATTAGGTGGCCAAAGTGAAACAGTGAAATCTGCTCTCAAAAATTATATTCATGTTTCAAATGAACATGTATCGAAAAATGCTCCCTGACGGAGCTACGCCTTCTTGAAGGAGCCCAGTCGAGCGATTGTTGCAAATTACTTCTAAACAGTTGAACTTCAAAACGTAAATTTTAGGAACTTTAGTAATTTTGATAATCTCAAATTAACAATGTCAGAATTTCATCATAGACGTACCATGTA